TTTTTTTTTTGTTTGCTTGGATGGCGCATTTCGTAAAATTGCGCAACGTGTTTTTCCGTAATGCCCGGTGCGGGCGAAGGGGAAACATCGCGCTTTGGTTGTGGGAAGGGCCAAATGTTTTTTTTTCCGACTTTTGAAGAGCTTTAATTTTTTATTTCTCCTCTCATCTGGCATCTTCCATGGCATTGGCTTGGGCTTGGGCTCTTGCCCCTGAAATTTTCCTAGCGGCATCTAAAACTTGCAGCCGGTAACGCTGTCTCGTGCCCTATTGTCCATGTTGGGCGGATAAGCCTTCAGGCCGGCTGGAAAAAAATTCCAATCCATGAAGTCGTCCCGCGCCTGTTAAAGATAGAAGCCCGGCTTCATATGCAATGAAAACAGACCAATAAAGACCGATGGCAGCTTGCTTGGCCCTCTAAAAAAAATATTTGAACGTTCCCTCAACGGTCCTGTTGTTCTCTTCCGGCCCAAATCCCTCTTTGGCGAATTTATTCATCTTTTCGCCAACCTGCCGCACCCCTGCCTGAGGCAGCGGGGGTTGTCCATTGCTGCGTTTTCCCCCTGGCCCCTAAATGTCAATTGCTGTTTGTCTGATGTCCGTCTGGGTGTTTTGCCGGTTTTGGGAGAAGCGCGGAAGGCCTGAGGCAGAGGGTGGTTGCCAGCCTCTGGTATTTGGTGCTGTGCCCGTGGTTTTTGTAAGCCCGCCGCGGGCTTTCAGTGCCGTCTCTCAGTGCATATTTTGATTGATCCATCTCTGCACCTGGTTGGTCTGAAAGTGTAATTCTCTGTTTTGAAACCCCATCTAGTTTGTTTAATTTTCCACTTGATTTATTTGATCTTGCATTCCAATAAATTGAATGAAAGCGTCCTGTTATGCCTTTAGCTTATCGTCCACCACTTGTGCACTGACCATCTCTTACTGCTGGTGCAGCGGGAATTTTCTATGCTCAGGAGCCGTCCGCTCACTCATAAAACCTTCACGCACTTATTCAAATACCTTCAGAAAATGCTGTTTATTCGGTACGGCAAAAAGCACCATGGAGTATCGCAAATTTACAAAATTTGCTTTCTTGCTGTCCAGGTTCACGGTGTGTTCGCCACTTTTTATGGTTAGAGCACCTTTAGCATGAATTACTCAGTTCCCAAAATTTTTTCTAGAGGAAAAGGAAAAGGATATCCAATTTTTATGTTTTACTTAGGCCATGTGTGCTGTTAGACTTGTTGTCCGCCCAGCGCCGGCGAAAGATTACCGAGACGTTGTCGGAATTGTGATAACTTGTTTTGGCTTCCTCGCGTTTGCAGAATTTATGCTTTGAGATGCTCCCTTTTATAGGAATAAAGGAAAAGAAATCAGCATCACGATTGAATTTTGTTTTCCATAAAACAATAGCAGAGGCGGGGTCGTTTCGTTTGNCCCCCCAAAGAGACAAAGCAAGAAAAAAGGGTGTCCCCCCCCGCCCTCGCTCCTTATTTTTTGCTGGGGCCGTGCGTTCCGTTCCTCGGATCTTTGGCATGCGGTGAATGGGGCCTCGCGAAGCCACTGCGATATCCCTAAAGCGGTGGCAGGGTCTTCGCCCTATGGGCGGGTAGACTTCCAAAAAGTCTATAATGCTTGGTGGTGGTCGGCTGTTCTTTGCGGTAGCCTCACGCTGTCTCATTTTCTCTGCGATTCGACCCCCCATGCGTGCAATATTTTTTGCGGGGCCAACGATTTGAACGTTACAGTTCGAAACTTTTTTTCTCTTCCTTATGTCTTTACGACTCCCGTCACTGGCTTCACTCCATCAGCCACCATTTTCAAGCACGTGTATTCTTGTTTCCTTTCTCTGTAGAAGGAGGGCCCTTTTTTTTGTTATATATTTTGTTATTTTTGGTGTTTTTTGTTTTGTGTTTTATTGTTTTAGGTATGTTGTTCTTCGTTTCGTTGAGCCGGCCCAGTGGGGAAACACAAGCTAAGGAATCGGGCAGCCAATTTCCCTCAACTGGGACTTCGAAAGCCTACTCGCCCCATTGGCCTTAGCCCTCTCAAGGGGGGG